CTAGAGATGACTTTGACTTTTGTGCTATTATTGATTAATGAGATATGGGTGCAGTTGTACAGGCCACATTAGATGACTCCGGCCGATACATCATTTTGTATTGATTAAGTTCATTTGGCATACTTGTTAATGCATGGTGGAGTTGATGGACATGGCATACCCGTGGTTTTGGCCATTTTTAGTATGATTTGGATATATATATATATATAAGTAGTATTGTCTTATGGAAAACGAGACGGGTTTTACATTGAGGGGTATTACTTTTAGAAAGGTAATAACTTTGGGAAGCTTGGTTTTATTGCTCACTCACACTCTCTGTTTTGTGCCCTACAGGTTTTAGCTGCCAAGTTCGTATCGATGAGAATCTGTGGCGAATCTTAGTATTGATGGCTACCTCTGAGGGTATGATTTTTACTCATACTACTGTACTTTACTTATGCTCTGACATCGCGTGTAAAATCGGTTCGCTCCCGTTCACAACGTACTCTGGTATTTAAGCACTTTTAGGTTCAAACTTATTCACATTTTTCTACACTCTATCACATTTTATGGCTTCGTCACCTTTCAGGTGTCGGCCAGCACGACTTGATTCTGGGTCCGAGTGGACATTCCGGGTAGGGTTGTGTCATCCGGCAACATGCCAAGAAGTGGAAATCAATCTCGGCGGCTATAAATTAAGGACGATGACTATTGTAAAGACTGCTAAGCCTGCCAATTTTGGACCTTCAGAAGGGATGGTCAAGGAAGACGAGGACAAAGACGATGAGGCCTCGGGCGTCCTTCCTAAAACATATCCAACTTCATTTCAAGATTTTGAGAGCAGAAATAGTCTCTGGTGGCCAACAATGAGAAGAAAAAAAAAATTGTGGTAAGGACGAGAGTGTCAATTGGCTTATTTGATGTTCATTGCCTGAATTTAGGAGTTAAACCCAATCGAGATCAGATGATGCAAGGATCTGATTTGATAAAACTTTCTGGCAATTCGCCTCTTTCGGGATCTTCTATGACTCTATTAGCTTCGTTCTTCCAACGTCCAACAGAGGTCACTTCGCTCACGTGTTTACCATCTATCCCAAGCTACCTAGACAAAACAAGTGCACATTTTCATCTTTTCCACTAATCTGATATGTGATCTCAACCTTTGAATCCCCAAAGTAATGTTCAAATGGTGCCACAGCGTAGCGGCTTGTGAACTATTTCACCTTGATCCTACCTTTCGTTAAACCATTGCAAAACGAATTGTCATTAATGAGGGTCAAATGTCATTGGAAGAGACAGTTTGCCATCGCAAATACTTATTGCCAACGGAAAAAGTCCTTGATGGGTGTTGGAAAAAGTCCTTGATGGGTGTTGGAAAAAGTCCTTTGCTCACCTATGACTTATTACTATTAATTAACTTTTTTAAAACTCATGTCCCAATCGCTTTTAATCTCCCTTTGTTTTCATCCTTCGATTTCAATTCGCTGTTTGCAGAATTTTGGTCTGTAGTAATTAATCACCATGGAGTTCGTCCAGGACCTGTTTCTGACGGCGTTGCTGGCTCTAATCCTCTCGTTCCTTGTCGCCGAGCTCGTCGCCATGGCGGTTGCTGGCCGGGAATCGGAGGCGGAGTTCGGGGTGGGTGGGGATGTCGACGGTGAAAGAGTTGGTGCGGAAGAGGTGAGCTTTGAAGAGAGGAGGTTGAAGCACCAAACTTTTGTTATGTATTTTTTTCCTTGTCCTTATCATTAAATAAAGTTAGTAGGTGGTTTTTGGTTAAAACTTAATTTTGAAGCCTTTTTCATTAGTTTTTCTTTTTTTTTTATTATCTCATACCGCTTCCCTCACGCTTTCACCACGCTTTTCTTCATTATCTCATACCGCTCCCCTCACACATTCACCGAGCTCCAAGCCTCCCACAATGAATCAAACCATTTACTTGGCACAAATTTTACAAACTATTTGTTTTCTAATCTTTTCTTTCATCTTAGCAAAAATACAAGTATATAACGAAAATAACAACCTTCCTTTTTTCAGTATATACTATATTAGTACATGTTAGTTCATTTGATAGTCTTAATTTTTTTTTACTTGCTTCAAAAACAAGAAAGGTTATTATCCATTCTTTACTTATCAAATTATAAAAAGAAAAAATATACATCATGTGCATAATGATTATTTTGATATTGTCTTTCGGAGCCAGCGTTGAGGGGGAGCTACCGGTTCCATGGCACAGGGTCCCAAAATTTTGGGGGCCCCCAAAATAGTTTGGGTTTTTATCACAAATGGTCCCTGACATTGATCAAACACATCATTTTGGTCCCTGACATTGAAAATCAATAGAAATGGTCTCTGACATTGATCATACACATCACAAATGGTCCTTCTGTTAAAAACTTTTTGGGCAATTTTCAAAGCTTCGTAACTCAATCGTTTTTTAACCAAATTTGACCCATGATATATCAAAATGAAGATAGGAAAGTGTAGAACAAGATTATACCTATTTGGAAACCCAATGGTTGCCGGAGATGGCCGGAAAATAGCCTCAAATGTGACTGGTCCGCGAAAAAACTGGAAAACTCGCCTGAAATGGGGTAAACTTTAAACATTCATAACTTCTTCAATACTCAACGAAATCGAGTGATTCAAAAACGAAAATCATACTTCTCGATGAGACTAAGAGAATGTTAGCTTTTCTGATGGCTAACTCGTCGTAGTTTGGCCGGAAAACGACTCGAAATTGGCTAACTCGAAAATGGTTATCCAAGTTCGAGCTATTTCCTGGTCAAACCATGGTAAATTAGCAGTCAATAAAGGTACAATTCTCTTTGTCTCGTTGAGAAGTATGATTTTCATTTTTGAATCACTCAATTTCGTTGAGTATTGAAGAAGTTATGAATGTTTAAAGTTTACCCATTTCAGGTGAGTTTTCCAGTTTTTTCGCGGACTAGTCACATTTAAGGCTATTTTCCGGCCATCGACGACAACCATTGGGCTTCCAAATAGGTATAATCTTGTTCTACACTTTCCTATCTTCATTTTGATATATCATGGGTCGAATTTGGTTAAGAAACGATTGAGTTACGAAGCTTTGAAAATTGCCCAAAAAGTTTTTAACGGAAGGACCATTTGTGATGTGTTTGATCAATGTCAGGACCATTTCTATTGATTTTCAATGTCAGGGACCAAAATGATGTGTTTGATCAATGTCATGGACTATTTGTGATAAAAACCCAAATAGTTTTATATCTAATTGGGTTTCCTATGAAATAATATTATATTATTTATATAAATAAAAATACTAATCAGAACCAAAGAAAAGATATAAAAATCCTACCGAGCCCACAAGCTATATGAATGGCTACATAAACCACCAAATCCTAAGAAATTTTATAAAAATTATAAAATAATGATATTCCTCACAATGTTTCTCAATTCTCACTCCAAGAGTCACAGTCCGCTTCTCTCTCTCACCCCAGACGCCCCCTCTCCTGCTTCTTCTGTATCTCCCCTCCTCATTACACTTTTTTTTTTACACAAACCATTAAACCCTAAATTCAGAATTTCATGTCATTGAGGAAAATTTTCCAAATCACAGACTATTGAAGTGGTGTGGTGTAGACATTGATTAAACTAAGATATTTACTAGTTCAAGTATATTAAGTTGGAATTAAAAGATTTAGGTATTTTTATTGATAATGATTTTTTCCTTTTGCACTTTTTAGGGCAAAGCAGTGAACAAAAACCCCTAGACACACATGCATTGAGAACAATCAGGTTTTATTGTTTAGACTTAGTATAATTTAATTGTGATATCGTTTGAGATATAAAAGATGACACTTACTAAAAAATATTCATGTGGCTACTTGAAACGCCAAAGAAAAAAAAGTTGAACAACTGACTCGTCTAAAAAACGAGTTATTCATAGGTTTTTTTGTTAAAGAAAAAGAACCACAAAGTTCAATTTTTTTTAAAGATTGTCTTAAGAAGGGCCTATTTTATAAATTCGCACAAGGTTCCTGAAATCTCAGAGACAGGTTTCCTAATTCTATTGGATAATGATGCTTAATATTGTTGGATTAAAAGTCCGAATCATCTTCAATTTCACTTGCCTCAACATGGAAGGGCTAGGCAATTTTAAGTAAATTTATTATATAAATAAATTAGAGTAAAAAGAAAAAGAATAAAATAGTACCCAAAAAAAATTTAAACAAATATTATAGAAATTGTCAAATTGATCTTGGTTAAATACCATGCAAACCATTCAAGCGGAAAAATCAAGCCAACCAAATAGATCGGGCCATCCTATCCTATCCAAGCAAATCACCAAGTACAAGAATACTCCTCACCTACCAATAACAACTATCACTATTATTAACCACCATTTTCCAATTCAGACGACGACTAAAATAATTTGCTAGAAAAGCTACAAATACAAGTTTGTGATGCTACAAATGTCAAGTCAAAAACGTAATAACAACGCGTAGCACAGAGAGTTAGGGGTGCTTGTTGTAGGTTTTCCGACAGACCAAAAGTGTGGCTAATCACTCATAGGCTTGATTTCTGGCAACAGGAGGTGTAGCCACACCTCCGCGTCTTTATAGCTTTGCTGGTGCTTCACGGCAAGCCAAAAACATAATAACAACGTGTTAAGCAAGCCGCTTAATGGTTCAAACATAATCTATGCATCATGCCAAGCCAAAGACAAAATAAAATCACACAGTGTCTGCTGGAAATTTTGAGTAGAAATTTCATTGTCCCACATTGACCATTCCCAAAAGGTTTCATCACTTTATAAGGCTTTGTCCTTTATAGAAAGTGATTGGAGTGATGGACATTGGAGAATAAAATTGGGCTCAACTTTGGAGTTGAGCTTTGGGGTGTGCTAATTAATATATTTTTAAACTTAACAGACTCATCTTTTCAGATGAAGTCTAAAGCGATGGAAAAACGCCTCCCCACTGAGCAGCTGTCTCCCAAAAGACGCATCCCATAATCATATTTGTTGCGAACATGCATAATACAACTATATATACATCATTCTGCATAGCATTTAGGATATAGAAAATCAACATTCTTCTTCTACAATCTTAAATATCCTTTCTGAGAAAACCGCACATAAATTTGCCAGAAGTCAAGTTTTCCGGTGTTGGAGTTTTGACTTGATCGTTGAATCCTGATGAAGCAGACGTTCGTAGAACTACAAGCACTGAGCAGAGACGAAATTTCAATTTATCATTGATTGTTGACATATCTCCAACAATCTTGAAACAGAAATTCATGGATCAACAATCTGTGAATGTGAATGGCGCTGTGCCAAAATACTTTGAAAAGCCTGAGAAGTCCAAAGGGTTGGATTTCAAGAGATGGCAACAGATGATGTTGTTTTTCCTAACAACTATGAATCTCGCTCATGTTGTCAAGGAAGAAGCTCCGAAGTCTAATAAGAATCCGATGACGAAAGAGACTGTCATGGCAATTGAAGCTTGGAATCATTGTGAGTTTTGTTGCAAGAATTATATTCTGAATAGTTTCGATGACAATCTTTACGACATTTATTCTCTGTGCAAGACAGCAAAGGAGTTATGGGAATCCCTGGAGAAAAACTCGGCATAAATTCAATCAGATACTGAATAGAAAAATATGGTAGTGATCACACTTACTTTGGGTTCAGTTGTGCCGTAGTGCACCCTGCACATAGTATAATGAAAGCGGCCCGTTGGATCTCACTTAACCTGCAGTAAATACAGGTAGAAACAAAAGTTCATAAGAACTGTATCTTCAGCCAACAGTATACAGCAGCACACAAATAGGCAGCTTAGCTTAGTCGTATTTACTTACTTTCTCTTGAGTATGATTCTGTACAAAATTCCAGTACTGATAATCTTGAAGTTCTTCAGTATTTGATAACCCGGAGCATCCACATACGCAAATATATAATACTGCCACATACAAATGAGCATTAGATGCAATTACACATCAGAAAGTAAAAGGACGCAATTTACTGACGCAAACAGAAAACATACAACAGCATCCAACCTGAAGCAAATTCTTGACTAGGTAAAGAAATGCCGGAATGGGATATACAATAACTTCATCCAGTTTTGCACTCAACCTAATTCAAAGGCAGAATATAATCATGTAACTTGGGGTTTAAGTCTCTTCACGTCGCTTAGCATATAGTCAATCCTCATACCCAAAACATTATACAACGAACAGAATCGAGTTCTCCCATAACATTACTATAATTCAGCAACAATGAACAACTTTCAAACCCATAAAAAGTTGCAATGCAAAACCTGTTATCTTCAGTAACACCTTCATTCCTCCAGATTCGCGCCAAAGCAGCAAGCGATATTGCACACTTCAAAGCCTCCACCTAATTCCCAACGCACAACGCATTTCAAGTCACGCGAAAATCGACATTACAAATCATAAATTTCTGAATTTTAATCTATAATGTAGCTTCATCTGCCTCACTACTCACCGAGAAATTTGCAGTGGTGACACTATACTCATACTTGCCGGCCCTCTTCGACCACACAATCAATATTGCTTGTGAACTGGTCAAAACGGTCAAAGCTATAGTAACAGCCGACCTATTCCAATCAACCCAAAACCATTAATCAAGTTCAATTAAATTAAAAAATACCAAATTTCAACCAATTGGAACAAAATAGCAAAAGTTGGGCATACTTGAGCTTCCACTTGGAGAGCTCCACTGGGCTGACGGCAGGAATTGGCTTGCCCCGCAAGCTTTCGAGGTCTCCGGGGGCTGAAGATTCGTCTTGATCCTGCAATTAGATCAAATGGGTACTGAAAAGAGGTTGAAAATTTGAGGATTGCAGGAAGAAATCTGGTAATTTATACGGGAAATACCTGATCTTTGAGTGTCCTGTACTCCATTGTTACGCTCTGTTTGGGTTTCTTTGTAAATTTGGTGCTTTCAGATCCCTAGAGCCATTGAGGGACACTGAGCTCTGAGAATTTGGTGCCACAGAGTGAGCCACAAGCAAGAAGAAAACCGACCGGGACGACGTCGTCGTCGCATGTTGTTTCTTTTTTGGTCTGAACTCGCTAATGGGCCTTGTTTTCTTCTGGCCTGCTATTACTCGGCCATGCTAAAATCCATATTCTGATCGGGCAAATGAATGACCTAAGCCCAATAAGAAAACTTCACACTTGTTTATTTATGTTATTCTCGTTGATTAATTAAAATTCATAAATAAATAAAAATGTGTAACAGGTAAAATTTGTGTACGCAAATCGCCTATCTTTATCTAAGGAAGGCTTCTATATGCATTCAAACATCAAAATGTTTAGGATTGACTGGAATATGACAACTTACTAAGGCTTTGTTTGGTATAAGAATTTGATTGGATTGGATTGAATTATATTAGTTAACCCTTTAAATTCATGGTATATTGAAGTTAGAATATAATAATTTTTCATTCAGAGTATATTAGAAGAGGATCGGAAAAAAAACTTTTCCCTTCTCATCCTATAATTTTGGGAGGATGATTAGAATTTATAAGTTTTCTTTTTTATCATACCTTGAAAATTGTATCTTATCCATTCCGATCTAATTCTCTATATACCAAAAGATGAATGATAAAATGGATGGATGCCCACGTGAATATTGCGTCCAAGCGAAAAGATGGACTCTCAAGAAAGAAAATTATATCCCTGACAGTCTTTCTATATATTTTTTTAAAAAGAAATGATAAGGAGACTCTCTTAAAAGCAGTTTGATAAGAACTTCTCACATGACATTGGCTCTAAACAGCATAATCCCCCACCCCATATTTACCAAAAAACCAACTCACATGGCATTGGCTCTAAACAGCATAATCCCCCACACCACAGCTTTAAGCCTAAGCACTACTCTGCCCTCTCCCAAAATGCAATCCAGCCCCCAATGCCAACAGCCTCACAACCGCCGCCAGAGCGGTCAGATTGTCCAGAGCGCCGCCTCTTCCTCCTCCAACATCGCCGTCTCAGATGTTAAGCTGCAGCTCCAGGAGGAGGACCACAGCAACGGCTTCAATCCCACTTCTACTTTTGCTCCTGGTGAGTGTATTTTAAGCGCTTTTGCCAAAAATCTGCTTGTTTAGTTCTGGATTTTTTTTGAGTTCTGTTAAAATCATCTGATTGTTATTGTAGCATAAAAGTTTGCATCTTTTGCATTGATATTTAGAGCAACTGCATAAGTGGGAAATGGTGTAATGGAAATGTAAAATTTTAGTTATTACTTTGTAAATAATTTTCAGGCTGGCAATGTAAAATGGCCAGTTATTAAGTACCCAGTTTGATAGAAGAAAGAGAACTGGATAAGGGTTGCATTTTTTGGATTAGGGTTGCGTAGCAGATGATAGGAAGAGGATAAATGGGAAATTGAGTGATGAAATGTATGATTTTATGATTAATTTCCAAATAAATTGCAATCTGGCAATCTAAAACGGTCAGTTATTTAATACCCGGTTTCATTCATAGTAGAGAAGGCACTGGATAAGAGATATGATGGTCAAATTTCCATTTGTTATGTTAACTATCTGACGTCTAGAATCTAAAAGTTGATATATTTATGGTGCACTGTAATTCAATTTCTCTTTTATCTATCTCTTTTATGCGTTCAAGCGTGGTCTGAATTTGCCAGAAATGTGTCCGGTGAATGGGATGGCCATGGAGCGGACTTCACAAAGGAAGGGTATCCTATAGAACTTCCAGAGAATGTAGTGCCTGAAGCTTACAGGGAGTGGGAGGTTAAGGTTTTCGATTGGCAGACTCAATGCCCCACTCTTGCTAACCCAGATGAGCACATTCTTTTATACAAGAATATAGAGCTACTTCCTACCGTTGGATGTGAAGCTGATGCTGCTACACGATATAGAGTCATTGAGAAGAATGTTGGTGGTCTGAGTAACGAAGTTTTTGCCTTTGCATATCAGTCTAGCGGATGTTATGTGTCTGTCTTGCCAATTCAGGATAAGGGTACGTATAAGTTACAGGAGTTGGAGTATTGCTTGATCAATCCTCAAGTAAAGAGTCTCGGGTGAGAATAATTCAGGTCATCCGCATAGAGAATGAGAAGATGATGCTGCAGAATATTAGAGTTTACTGTGAGAATTGGCATGGGCCATTCAGAAATGGGGATCAGTTAGGTGGATGTGCTATCCGTGATTCTGCTTTTGCTTGTACGGCTGCACTGGAAGCTTCAGAAGTTGTTGGAACTTGGCGGGGTCTCAGTGCTGTTGCCAGTTTCCGTGGTACTCAAAATGTGAGTTGATCCTCCTCCTTTTGGTTATGTGTGTATATTTCTATGATATGCTTAACCTAAGCAAAAATCCTTGAAAATCTTTAAGTCTGCTGAAGCGGTTCAAAACATTCTTTTGTTTGGTTAAAAGTTAGGCACTTTGCTCACTCTGTACGTTCACTTCATTTGTTGTTTTTGTCACTGTGGGCATCACAAAACATCAACATATTTCTTTCATTGAATCTTCATTGATCATTTTATGTCACTCTTTAATATCTTTTCTTTGATATTTTCTGAAGCTATGGCCTCCTATCCATCGATTTGGTAGATAGTCATTTATTTGTCAGATTTTTTGTAACTCCCTGGTCTAATAAGTATATAATGTGAACTTGATGAACAGAATGTTCTTCAAGAACTTTTAGTCAACAGTGAGCAGAGCTCCATGAGAGATGAAAGTGGTCTCGTATTGCTTCCCAAGCGGCTGTGGTGTTCCATAAAAGAAAGTAAAGATGGTGATACTTGCAGCGAGGTAGGATGGCTGTTAGATCATGGACATGCCATCACATCAAGATGCACCTTCTCAAGCACAGCAACGCCAAAGGCAAGTTAGCATGTATAGACTCGTTTATTATTGGTTTTCAATGATTGGTGCAGCATGTCAGCATCCAATGACGAGAACAAACCAGCTAAGGATTCTGTCCCAACATATTTGACTTGATCATCGTAAATAGGTTCTGAGAGATGGTTCATCTATTCATCTTTGGATAGTGCTCCCATATTCATAGCTTCCCTGGTGAAATTCATCCGTGTCAGTAGAATTATTTTGCTCCGAATAAGTTTTTGTCTGCATATCCTTTTTGTTTTTAGTTTTGTCACGTAAATCAATCTGCAATTCTGATCATTCAGTGTATACATGCTTATTTTGACATCATTCATCATCTTCTTTTACAGGAAATCTCAGTAGCGAATGAAACTGCAGTTTTAAAGGGCACATAGACATTTTGGATTAACTCAAATTCGCAATATGCAAACACAGATATAGGACTCATGAAATGTATCTAAAGTTTTTCTCTTCCTGTATTTTTTTTTTTTTGGGGGATATGTTTGATTTGATGTATAGCAATAAGGCATCCACATGAATGTAGAAAACTTGTGTCATTTTTTTTTCAAATTCATATTATAAAACATGCTTTGAAATCTTTGTACAAATGATTTCCAAAAGCTCATTTACAAACAAGATGGTAGCTTTGATTAGATATGAAGTAAACAAAACATACAAGGTTCCTTATATTTGGGCGTTTATGGTACTACGGAGTATAGGATATTCTTGAATTTTTAATAATTAAAATTCATTTTAATTTTTGTTTTTTAACAAAGACAAGACATAAAGATATTCCTGAATTTTTAATAATTAAATTTTAATTTTTGATTTTTTTTAACAAAGACATAACGGTTAAATAACTCGGATCTATTTTTTAGAAAACCATATAAAACTCTGTTAGTATAATTTGTTAATTGGAGGGACAGACAAATTCCAGAGACAGACAGGTTCAAAGGAATCCAATCTGGGTCTGTCCACTTGTCACTATAAATCTTGAAAATTACAGTAGATTCCTCGAATACCTTCACCAAATGAGACAAATTGCACTGTATCAGTATTAATATTTTCTAAAATCATCTTAGAGAATAGATTCATTGTATCAAGAATTCAAGATCATCATCCAGATGCACGTTGCAGTATACCTCAACCGTATCTTCTCGTGAACTAGTATAATATGTACAGGACACTACGATGGCAGTAAATTTGTGTCTTGAAATTTTTTCTTTATGTGAGGGTGGAAATTACCAGATAGACTCAATATATCGTTGAGGACACTGAAATTATGTTACTGGAGATGAAATTAAATTTCCACTTTTTTACTGTGTTTTTATTTTTAATTATTTTGCAGCCCCTTTTCAATGTTGTAAATTGTACTCATGTGCTGGGAGCCTGGAGTTATTTACCTTCTTCACCCACACACAAAAATACGTTAGAATCTTGAAATAACACTTCCCACTGTCCAAATATTGTTTGATCATCATACAGCAATACAAAAGGCATCACTTAACAAAATAAAAAAACAACAGAAATCTCCCAACTCTCAAAATGTTACGTCTCCCTATTCGAATCTCTATTTCGAGTTGAGGAATTAAAATTTGCTTCTCAATCTTCTACCACCAAATCTCCTCCTCTTCTGACTTTGCTGTACAACCTGCCTACAGGATATCGAAAGATTAATCACGTAGCGTTAAGCACGTAGCGTTAAGCGTAGAGGAAAAAGGCATAGCATCTGTTTGGGACAATATTCTGTACAAATGAAGTTATCTGGAGACATAGATATGCGGAGAAGGATACCTTTACATGACGCTGGCGTGCTTAGTTGGAAGCTAATGAGCTCCTGGTGCATCTCTCATGCTCAAATTTAGACTGTTCCTCATAGTCCGTCTTCCAATTGGCATGTTGCCCTTCACATTGCCCTTTTGCATCATGGCGACAAACTCACCGTAGTCAATCCTTCCATCCTGCATGCGGGACATAATTGAATCTTTGAGTAAAACCAATAACAAGTCTAAATCTACAAAGACGATTATACAATACATGATGCTACAAAGACGTAAATATATTTGGTTGCTCATATAAGCTTAACAATTACTAGATGATTCAAGTATTTGAAGAATGATGCAATTCCCTTGTGAAATTTTGGCAACTTACATTATCCTGATCAACTTCTTTTATAATATCTTCAAGAAGGACGTCAGTCATGTGATGTTCTGTACAAGCTTGCTGGAGCTCATCAACCGTAATATAACCACTTCCATCCTTATCAAAGTATCGGAAGGCTGCAACCAGATGTTCTTCACGTTCTAGTTTGTTAAGATGAACTGTAGCAGCTATAAATTCCCCATAATCAATTGTTCCACTGTTGTCCACATCAGCCTGGGAAAGAACGAAAAAATGCTTAGCTTTGTGAAACATAAACAAAGTTGAAGATAAATAACCACAAAATTGAGAATTAGACTAGTAGGCAAGCCAGCTACAGATGATTCTGTTTGGAAACAAGCATCTTACCGCATCCATAAGATCACGTATCTCTGTATCCTTCATGGTAGAGCCGTATCTCCGCAAACCAGCTTTAAGTTCGTCAAATGTTATTGCACCACTATTATCAGTATCCATAGCCTGAAACATCTCTCTGAGTCCAGCAATCTCCTCCTCAGATAGCCTTTCAGCTATTACCTGATATAACATATAGCCAAAAATACCTTAAGCATAAGTTGTAGCATTCTAGTTAAGGGGCATGCCAAAAGTCAACGTCACGTATAAATTTTTCTTTACAAGAAAATACTAAATCTGATAGAAATGCCAAACAAGGTGTTCCAGTCTCCCATGCACTTACCCGTAGAGCCATCTTCTTTAACTTGTTCATAGCAGAAAACGTTTTGAGACGAGAAAGTACAGCTGGATCCAGTGCTCTATCAGGAGCAACCCCATTTTCGCAAATCCAAGGGTGACCTAAAAATGAAAATTCATCACTTAAAAGCAAAAAGTGTGCAACATATACTGGACAATTATTGTTAATTCCACTTCAACAGAATCTTTCTGGTTGTTCATTTCCTAAAATTTGAGAACCCACACATTGAAAAGGAAATTAAAGAAATTGGTGTGACTTGAAAACAAAGCAAAATTTCCCAAGCCATACACTTCAAATGGATAAAATCAAGGCAGACTTTGAAAGTTTATTTCTTTATGGAAAATTTGGCTACAGAAAAAGTAGCCGTTTTTCTTTAAACATTGACTGTGCCAAATTCAAATTCAGAAATAAACTCAAAAGGGCTTGAGCTTAGACAACCGTGTTTTGGTGTCTCAGCTGCTTAACAAATTTCGGGGCATAATTTATCAACAAATGTTGTGCACGTAGTAGTAATGACATGATCCATCCAAAGAAAAGAAATGGAGAACCATTAACAAATAAGCTACCTATTTCTGGTCGCACTAAATCATGCACAATATTGTACTAAAATAACTTAAACTGCTAAGAGAGGTTAAACATACATAGCACTTCATGTGCAGTTAAGCGGTCTGAAGGCCTAGAACATAGCATCTTCCGGATTAGGTCTTTTGCACTGTTAGATATTAAAGGCCATGGCTCTGATTCAAAGTCTATATATCCCTTCAAGACCGCATCAAATATCCCCTGCTGGGTTTCTGTATACCAATCACCAAACAGGTAAAACTATTCAGTAACAGAGAACATGGAGTAATCTCTGTTTTGTTAAAATATGAAGCCACCACTACCTGCCCAAAATGGCGGCACACCACTGAGCAGAATATACAGTATAACTCCTGCAGTCCACACATCTGCTTCTGGTCCATAATGCTTGAGGAGTACCTCCGGAGCAACATAATATGGGCTTCCAACCACATCAGTGAAAACTTGACCTGGAAAGGACGTAATAAACAAACATTGGTTTCTAAATGACAAGGAGGACACTACACGCATTCCAGTTCAATAATTGTCTAGGGGCAGTAGCAATAAACAGGAATTAATGAATTTTATTACTATATACAGGCAACACAAGTGCAGCTACTAAAATCCACGTGAACAAGATCTAAGATAAGCCATATTACTATTTGATCAATATTAAGTGAAGTAAACTCACATCATATCTAAAATCAACAAAACGAAATGAAATTATTTTTGTTTGTTTACCTGGTTTGAAGAAAACGGAGAGTCCAAAATCAATGGCCTTGAGAGAAAAATCGTTGTCCTTGTTAACCAACAAGAAGTTTTCGGGTTTCAGATCTCTATGCATGACACCAAGTGAATGGCAAGCTTCAACAACACCAACAATAATCCGTGTCAACTCAGCTGCCTTTCTCTCACTGTAATGTCCCCTCTGGATAATGCGATCAAACAACTCACCCCCGCCACAAAGCTCCATTACAATATGAACATACAGTGAATCCTCATAAGCGCCCTTGATTGTCACAATATTCTTGTGACCAGCCAAATGGTGCATTATCTGAATCTCCCTTCTAACATCATCCACATCCTCCTTCGAGATCAACTTCCTCTTGGAGATAGACTTACACGCATACTGACTGCCAGTAGCAATCTCGGTGCATAAATACGTAGTCCCAAATTGTCCCTGTCCTAATTTATGACCCAACGTGTAAAGATCACGAATGTTGGCCGTCTTGTGACCCAACACATAATAACTTTGGTTATCAGCACTTCTCCTCATGATGTTATCTTTCCTGGGACTTATGAGGGGTGGATGACTATTGTTGGTTTTGGGTTTGGGGCTGTCTTTGGAGAATTCTTGCTGACCGCGGTGCTGCGATTTCAAACTGGACTGGGAGTGGTCAGAATTCGAATGGTCAGACGAGGTGTTGCGCTTGGAAACGGAAGCAGATTGCTCTTCGGGCTGGTTGGAGCCCTGAAAATATTTCCCCCTGAAAGATCCACGGCATGTGTTGCCCATGAAACAATTACAAATCCCCTCAGGACTTTTTAACAGACTTTCCCTCACCCAATTGATTTCTCATCAATTCACACTGTCCACCATACAAAAAGTGCATAAAACAATCAACAATCATGGCTGAAAAAAAAAAAAAAAATCCAAGAAAATCACACCATCATAATATGCAGATCAGAAACATGGACCCCACAGATTCATATGAATCTATAATCACAAACCCAGAAAGCAAGCAAAGAATAGAAATTGAAATTTTCATGCACCCCAAAAAGAACCCTTTTCATTTTCTCTACTTTTTCCATCATACAAATCCATAACTCATAAGATTATTGCAAATAAATCAGCAATAGATTAACAACTAACCACAAAGATCAAATCTTTAAGCACAAACAAAACAACCCATCAACCAGAAAAGCAAAAAACCCAAGATTCAGATACAAAAGGTCAGATTAAAGCAAGAAAGCAGACACATTATTTAGAGAGAGAAAGAGAAGAAAGAGAAGATGGGGGCACTTTACCAGTTGAAAAGACGGAATGGATGGTCGAACGAATCAAATCAAAGGGGCAGGAGGAGAAGAAGAAGAAGAAGAAAATGATGCAAACAACTCTCCAAAGCGATAAATTATGGTTGATTAGCAAGATTGGATGTTGGTGATCTAAAAAATCAATCAAAAAGCTTTTGGGGGCTTTCCAAAATTATAAATTTTTTGGTTATTTTAGGATGGTGCTGCTGGGAAACATCGGAGGTGAGTGCTGACCAGCTATTAACCTCTCCTCCCCTCTCACTCCTCACTCTCTCTCTCTCTCTCTCTCTCTCTCTCTTCTTTTTTATTTTTTTAATAATTTAATTAAATAAAAAAACCGCATAACAGCTAATTTATAAACGCGTTTTTGCTATTCATATATTTTTGTCTGGACAATGCATAGATAGGCAGCTTCGAGGAACTGGGCGGGGGTTAAAAAACAGGAAAAATTACCACCTTGATTTGACGGTGGATCCGCGGTGAAAGTGAGTTCCGAGATTATGGGTGGGGATTGGTCCCGAGAATGCGAGTGTGATTGGTGCGTGGGGAACACGCGGTGAGTGCTGGTCAAGATGTTCGAGCTGGTTTTTCTGGGTGGATAAATCTAGCAGCTAAATACGGACAGATTTTGTCAGCGGCGGTGTATTGATTATCTGGACAAATTACACACTGTTTTGTTTTTTTTTGGGCAGGCCAAACTGTTGCTCCAGTTTTTTTTTTCTTTGTTTAATGAAAAAAAGAAGAAGTATAGATTGATTGATCATCATGATTTATGAAATGCTCGTTTTTACTGGCAGATTTAGAAAAAAAAATTTCCGCACTTTTTGAAACATTTTGACAATCTCTTGCCGTTGTAACAACTATACTTAACCAGAAAACGTTGATGCTATTTGGTCTCAGTTACTTATCTTGCATCGACTTTTTAAAATATTTTGTCAAACGTCTCGTCTTTATAACAACTGTATTTAACCTGAATATGAAATAAACATTGGCCAAATTGATTTGCATATGGTAGATTTACAAATTTGGACTTTGACTATTTAACTATTTAACTGGTTGGTTTCATTCTGTTTCGATCTCGTCACTCTTAACCTGTCGACTCTGAGACCTGAACCCTCTTCATTTCACTTGGTACCTCACCCAAACATTATATTTAAGAACTTTTCACGTTAACACCCATTATGTTGCTTTTTTCATATGCTTGAATAAAAAGTATGTTGATAAAAGTTGTCGTACAATTTCGATTACAGATTCCTATATCTATCTATATATAGATTAAAAATAAGAAAAACTAATGAAAAAAGCTTGAAAACTTTGAGTTTTAACGATAATAACAAAATAAAAGGTAAATTGAATAATACCATAATTGACTTTTTAGTATAAAAATGTGATTTTTCGTTAAAATGAACAGTACCAGGAGTTTTTCATTAAAGTTCACTTAAAAATATGATGAAGTTCTATATATGAAAGGGTGGTTAGCTAAACAAGATCACCATTTTATCCTTGATTATGGTTTGTGATTTATTAAACTTCAAAATTAAAATTTACAACTTTTCCAAAAAAAAAAATATAATAATAATATACAATGCCATTTGATAAGAACAACAAAAAAGGCCAACACAAATTTACACGCATCATTCTTTTTTGGTGTGATTGGGAACCGAAGGTCCTTTGACTGTATATGAACAGCTTTCTTCTTCTTTTTTAATACATGTGAAATTATTTTATCAAAAAATAGATTAAATAGCTTCTATATTTGATGGATAAAAATATGGAAAATTTTGCAATACAAACGGAACTAGTGAAATTCCACCATGACGGTGTGCTTGCCGTTCATTTAACCATTTTTCAAGACTCAATTTTCTAACCCTAAAATGGTAAACATATAACTAAACCAAACTATTTTTCTATTATAAATGGAATAGTTTTTATTTTCTATTGGCTAGCTCGTAAGTGAGGGCAAGGACAAAGTGTGACAACCCGTCCCTAATTTTACGTTTTTATTAATTTTTAAAGTGTGAATTTACGAAAATGCCCTATAGGCAAAGATTTTAACCTTTGTTGACCATTGGTTAAAAGGACATAGGACTCATTCTTTTAGCGTATCCTCGCAGTACTTGTCACTACGAACGCACAGGCGAAAACCATTTGCGAGTCCGGATTATAACGGTATAGTTACGGACGTTTGAAATTGGTTATTCAAAATTTAGTTTTAAATTAATTAAAAACTCCCACCATTGTGGGAATGGTCACCAATCAAATTGTTTCCTTTCAAATGGCACCCAATCAGACTTCACCAAGCCCGTTTTGCATCAGCCAATTCGAAAAGGAAAAGAACAAAAAAAAAAATTGATAAGGGTGGGGGGGGGGGGGGGGGAAAGCTCCTCGTGCACCTGTGCCCAACCCAGTTCGACCTCCCATTTTCCAAGGCCGATTCCGGCCAACTCCGATGGAGTTTTTCGATACAACCACTACCATCTTGAAGCTCTCATTCCCCTCTACAAAACCCACCCAAGAACCACCTTGATTAACCACGGTATGTGGCAGTTTAAGGCCATGAAAGTTGACGATTCTCGCCATGCTCAGGCCACCCTTTTCAATTTTTCGGCGAATCGGCAAAGCGATGGCCGATGCCACCACTTGGGCTTTGTAGCCCATCATTCCAGGAGCAAATACCAACCAACCTTGACCTCGTTGGACCACTGCAGACGACGGATCGACGCTAGGAAGTTTTAGGCACCCGTCGGCTTTGTGGGAAAAATTGACTATCTTCCGTCCACTTTTGGACTTTGTGGCAGGTATAAAGTTTACTCTACTCATTAAGATCTCCATTCCTATAAATTTTGGTAATTTTTGGAAATAGTTGGATTTTCCGGCGAGTCAAAGGAGCTGACCGCCACCCACGGCAGCGCGTGGCCAGGGGGCAGTCAATGTTATTCTTAGGCTGAATTAGATGCCTTGAGCTTAGTTTTGGTAATTATATGACGTAGGTTGATTGTTGGAACCTAAATTCTCTACGTTGCGTTAATTGGTCATTATATGAACCGACTATCCGACCGTTGGATCGTCACCAAACTTTATTATGTTATAGTACGTAATATTTGAGAACCATAGAAACTTATGGATTGGGAATCTAATTTACGGATCTTCCCGAATTGGATTTGTAAGTTCATAAAATAAAATGTTGACCGCCACTTGATTTTGGCAATTGGCGGAGATCTGACCGTTGGATCATAATGAAACATTAGGACGTGGTTATAGGAACATAATGTGAATATTGGGAAGTAACGGATCGGAAATCCGTGAATGCAGATCTTCCGAAGTGAATTACGTAGGGATGTGTTTTATATAGATTATGTATTTTACCGGTCAAAACTATGAGATGTGATTTGATAATTGATCATAGACGACAATGGTTCGTGATGTCTCGATATGCGTGCTAGGGAGTCGTAGCGCAGACCTCAGGTGAGTGGGACTTTTCCTTTCTATTGTATATTTTATATATATATATATATATATATATATATATATATATATATATATATATATATGATTGACAATTCCATAAACGTTTATAAATTGATTATTGCTTATGATTATTGTGAATGCTTTGAAATACTATTGTGAACTACGAATGGTTTGATCCCTGTTTAGGGTATGTAGGCAGTCTAATGAGACGTTAGATGTAGCCATACAATAAATGAGACTAAATCATTGAGACAATAGCCTTGTTTGGGGAATTGAGCAATGTGAAGGAGATTGATGGAAAATGTGAGATTTAACCTTATGATTTGGTGGTTAAATGTTGTTCATAAATCAATGTGTGAAGAACCAAGAAATTAAAGTAAGGAAACGTAAGTAATGATAGTTAATTAAACTAGTGTCTAATTGGGATTATCACCAATAATTATTCCCGAAAATAAATAGTTCGGGAGTAGGGCGTTACAGCTTATGCATTTGTATGCCATATTTTATATATATATATATATATATATATATGTATGTATGTATGTATGTATGTATGTATGTATATAATTGAAAATGCCATGTCATGGTTGAGTATTAGATTGCATCATGGTATATCCATATGTATATTACATGCTCATAATTATTGTGAACGTTTTGAAATGCAAAGGTGAACATAGGACACTCAAGTAAGTTCTGATAAGTTTATGGTATTAGTTGAAATGATGGAGTTATGGCATGACTACATGTATGTTTTAGACAACTTCGACCTTGTCGTACATGTTGCAATGATAGGCAACTCCGACACTGTCGTACAAGTTGTCCATGAGTCATACATGTTATAATAGATGCAATTAAAGCTCATAAACCTGCACCCCGGTGTTAGTGCTCCTGCCCGTGGCCAAGGCACAATCTTTCACGTGATGTTCACCTCCCACACCTTATGCTCACCTTAGATCTAAGGTAGGTGCACAGTTCTGTCGTACAGACCCTTAGGGGTGGTTCCAACTCGTAGGTGACCCGCGTTTATTCGCATAATTTTCACATGAGCGTAGCACTTGAGCGTACTTATTTACACCTAGTCCTGTCGTACAAACCACTATAGGTGGTTTCGACTCGTGTGTAAGGATATGTGATGAGCTATGGGTTCAGCCATACAGGCTACAAGAGGTGGATCCGGTTGACATATTGCTGAGATATTGATTGATGAGATATGGATAAGTCGTACAGGTCACTATAAGTGACTCCACCTTATATGTTAGCGTTGATTGATGAGATATGGATAAGTGTACATGTCACTATAAGTGACTCTGACTTATATGCTAGCATTGATTGATGAGATATGGATAAGTCGTACAGGTCATTATAGGTGACTTCGACTTATGTGCTAGCGTTGATTGATAAGATATGGGTGCAGTCGTGCAGGTCACCATAAGTAACTCCGACTAGCGTGCTAGTATGGGTTATTAAGCACAGTATTATTGATATTGCTGATGAGATGCTGTGTTGTGGTATATTTATGGATTTACTGTTGATATACTTTTGATTTCACATTGATACGTGGTATGATTTTTCTGGAAACTATATAGGTGTTGCAGCGAGGGGTTATAACATTTTGGATGGTTTCTATTAAAATTTTATTTTCAGGGCCACTCACCCTTATTTTGTTTTCACCCTCCAGGTTTTATTAGCTGAGCTTTCTTGTTGATGAGGATTCGTGGCAAATCTTAGTATTGGGGATTTCTTTCAATGGTATGATTCTCAATCCACTCTACTGTACTTACTTATGCTCTAACGTCACGTGTGAAGTAGGTTCATTCCCG